TTGCTTTATATTACGCCATAGAACAATGTTGGTGCCAGACGCCTTCGAATAACACTCGCGCTAATAGTACTTATTCGATAATACTCGCTCGAATAATAATCCGTATAGTGATACGAACAGTATAGTGAATAGAGTCGAGAATAGCGCCCTAATAGTAATAGAGTAGAAAGACACTATTTACATTATTCGGACTCATCTGTGTCGCCATGTTCAGTAAAGCGTTTCGGCCGTTGTACACTCCGGCCTTCTTCAGGTGGTTGAAATATTGAACTGAACCCTTTATTTCGCTCACTGGGGTAGACTGTTCTAGTTCCACGTGCCATGTTTTAATGGATGTCAGTTATCAGTTATCTCCTGTTAATTCCCTTCTCCAAGTTCTCCACTGCCTTAACCGGGTATTGAACTCACACTCTTTGGGTCCTGTCACTGGATCTAACCAACGCCTTTATCCACTGTGCCATGTGTACATAATAGCTCATCTCAGAAATATAGACAGATATAAAGTAGAAAGAGTGATCAATTTGACACCACGCTAATTCCCATATAATACATTTCCTTGGCGATCACGTGATCTACTTATTCAAAATGGGATCGCCTGTGCTTTCTCACTGGCGATCTATGTTCAAATTACAGTGTCGGCAGCGACACTTTATTCCCATATAAATTACAGGTATCTCACTTTAGAATTGATTTATAAATCACTAGGGGTTGGAAGTTATCTTTTTTTGGTAAACAGAACAGGTGTTATTTGCACTGTTTATAGTCGATGAAGGATGCTCCTCGCTCAGACATACAGTAAAACAGAACGGGTTATTGTTGGGAATGTTCAGCCAATTACAGTGATCCCACATATATCCAACTACCACTTTATGGGTTAGCATAATGAAATAGAAAACATTGCTTTTCGACTATCGTATTATAGTTTTATTTACCTGATTTCATTTCGCAGGTGCGCTATTTTTACGGAGAAATGACTGAAAAAAAAATCTCTAGATCGATTTTTAGAATGCAGTTCCAAACACACACACTTTCGTTACGGCGGGGAGATATCAATTTCGAATTCCTTGTTAATATAACTAATTTTTTTGTTGATATGCACTCTGTACACGTGCATGTTTACACGGGTATGTGCACACGTCAATGTGCACACGGACATGTATACCTAACTTTTTCTGGAGCCATTCTCATCGCCGATACATAGTGGATGTTAATAGTATCATCTCGAATTTACAAAGGGCAGGTAGTTGTGGAGTGCCGTGTTCAATAACACCGTGAAGGCCCGAAGAAGAAGAAAACGTTTCAATTAGAAGCACGACAAAATTTTCTGATTCCGTTTTTCGTGCTTCTTATTGAAACGTTTTCTTCTCCGAGCTTTTAGGATATTGTCAATCATGGCCCTCCACAGCTACCTGCTCTTTGTAGCCATTAGTAAAGTTTGTACCATTTAGTAAAATTTGTTTTTTCACCATCCATCACATTCATTGTTCTATCGTCCATTTACACACGGGTCTTAGGTATATTACTGCCTTTTTACCCTCTTGCCTTCGTATGTCCTGTAAGTGTCAAATTCTCCAAGCCTCTGTCCTCATTATGCCTTCTAAAAATTCCATCTGTCTCTTTCTGACCCTAGGTATTTTTTTGTTTCCATTTTCCTTAAAACTTCCTTATTACAAATATGTTCAGTTCATGGCATTTTCAGCATCCTACTTTTCAGCACCCCATTTTTTCAGAATCCTACTTTTCAGCATCTCACTTTTCGGCATCCTACTTTTCAGCACCCCACTTTTCAGAATCCTACTTTTCAGCACCTCACTTTTTGGCATCCTACTTTTCAGCACCCCACTTTTCAGTATCCTACTTTTCAGCACCCCACTTTTTGGCATTGATTTGATCCAATAACTTCAAAATGACACACTCTTTCTTTCCGAAGGTGTGTGTGTGTGTGTGTGTGTGTGTGTGTGTGTGTGTGTGTGTGTGTGTGTGTGTTCTAATTCCGAATAGGTTGGTTATATTCACTTACGCACAAATACCTCTTTGAAAGGTATAATTCTATGTCTTCTCTCCACAACTATAGGTCAATTAGTAAGGCTTGTATCACCAAACCGTTATTATCTAAAAAAAAAATACTTACAATCTAAAAATTATTTTCTGTTATTTAAAACCTTCAATGGGTTGATAAGCCGTAAAAAACGTATCAGTCAATAAAAACAGTGTTTTAATGTTCTAACTAGACTGTGTTCCAAATCAAGTATATATATATATATATATATATATATATATATATGCAAGCAAATATATGGCTATAGATCCGACAGTATGAAGAAAATATACGGAAAAAACAAACAAAAATCCTTATATACAATTATGCTGTTTTAATGTTAATATGTCAACGTTGTTAATGTTTTAATGTTAATATGTCAACGTTGTTAATGTTTTAATGTTAATATGTCGGACGTTTCGGTCTAATAAACCATCTTCAGGACATATTCATAAAATATAA